AAGAGCTTGAAAGGGTAAGTGAAAAATGCAAATATGGGAACCTCCTGCTCCTGATATCCCATAACCCACCCCGCACCCTGGGAAAGCTCCAGTGGGGTCTGAGAGGAGAGGAGATCCCAGTCAGTGCCAGGGGGCTCAGGGAAGCTGTTCAGGGATCCCACTGGCAGGAGTCTCTGTTCTCCTGAGTGCTGTCAGCCATAAGGACATTCATCCACAGAGCCAAGTCACCCAATTTTCCTTGGGCAGGCTCAGCACTTTTCCAACAACTGTGGGTCATCCCCGCACTGACTCATGTCTCATAAAGGAGGGTTTGGCCCAGGCCTAGAACTTTCCTTTCAGAAACCCTCTTCCCCCTGACTTCACAACAGAAGGCTCAGGACCCAGTCAGGGGTCCAGGGCAGCTGTATACTGAGCCCTCACATAGCATTTCACCCTTTAGTCCCTCATCCCTGGGACACTGTGTGCCATGGGGATCTTAGTAGCTGGGCCTGAAAGGGACAGGGAGGTCCATGCTCAGAGCCCTGGCCCTGCAGGGTCTGTTCTGTGGAGACAGACTGTCACCTGCCAGGATGTTCCCAGATCATAACAAAGACTAAACAGAGAAAAGCCTCTATTGTCTCATTTCAAGCGGTCAAGGGCAGGTCCCCAGGCCCCGGTTCCCACAGTGAATACCAGGCAGCTCTGCAGTGTCACCGTGACCACTGTGTGTTCAGTTTGACCTCTGGGTCCCTGAGACACTAGATGTGTGATGGAAAACTGCGAGTAGACCCCTTCAACCAGAAGGAACTTCTGAGTATAGTTTACATATGCAGAAATTATTATAAAATATTCCACTGTCTTGGAAGAAACTGTTAGGCTGAAGTTTTTGTCCCACTTCCCCCATCTGTGTGTGTCACTGTGAGAAGCATAGTTGTACCCAGTCATACAGTAATAGTCGGCCTACTCCTCAGGCTGCAGCCCCAAGATGGTCAGGGACTCTGCATTGGCCGAGGTGTCTTTGGATCCAGAGAAGTGGCAGGGGACTCCGGAGCCCTGGTGCTTGTCTGAGTCGTATCTATACTCCAGGATATACCGGGGAGGGCTCCCTGGCTTCTGCTTTCTGCTTGTACCAGTATATCCTATAGCTGCCAACACTGAAGCCACTGCTGAGGGTACACGTGAGTCTGTCTGACCCTCCAGGAGATGCAGAGAGGGAGGGCAGGTGAGTCAGCACAGGCGGGGAGAGGGAACCTGCAGACACAGACATTCACAGGTGCTGGGGCAGGGATAACACTTAAACTGCACAAGAATCTAAGCCTAAACGGCTGACAGAGGATTGGTGGTTGACCGTGGGCATGTGAAGACTCGCTGCACCTGTGCAGTGGGAGAGAAGCATGAGCAGGACATGGGTTCAGGCCATGGTGCAGACAGCTTCCTGTGTCCCCAGATGAGATCAGAGGTGGGCCGGGCCTCTTTTATCTCCCCCATTGGTTGGGAAGAGGAGGAGCTGTTCACTCTTATTTGTTTCCCCCAATGATGATGAACATTTTCTACCCTGAGAACAAGGCAAGTGAGAGCCTAGCTGATTGGACAGGGAGCTGATGGGTGAGACTGGGTTTGCCCCCTGGGAGGGTCCAGGACAGGAGCAGGTTCAGGGACCTTACCCAGACCAGTGAGCAGCAGGCTCTGCCCAGCCCAGTCACAGGGTCCCCATCAGTAACCACAGGCCCCAGGGCCCCAGTCCTGGGCAGTCTGGGAGTTCACTCAGTGGGAGGCACCCACTGTCTGGCCTTGGGGTCCCACAGCACCCCTGCTGCTCACTGCTCAGAATTCATCAGTGGATGGAAATGATGTTGGGGACACTGCCCTGAGACTGGTCACTGTCAGGTCACTAATACTCCCGGGGACACCATTTGTTATACTGCCAGTCTCTGATATAAATAAACAACATTTCCAGTGTTGGGGTCTGGTTTAGGAGGAGAAAGAGACATGGAAATCAGGACGACTGTAAAGTGTGGCCAAAGCTGTGGGAGGGGAGAGTGCAGATGCAGGTGCGGAGGGGCCTCCCTTCCTCACCTTCAATGCTGGTGCAGGGAGACCAGAGAGTTCCCTGCTTCCTCAGGGTCCTGCGAGGGGTGGATGTTGGAGGGATGATGAGGGAGCAGGGAGCAGAGGCATCATGAGAGCTGAGGGACATGGCTTTAGGTGAAGATGTGGTGAAATCCCCACAGTGAAATACACCGGGGAAGACAGAGATGGATCACATGACCCAGGAAAAGTGAATGGTCAGGAAAATGGCTCACAACTTTGACATGCATACTTTCGCCAGACAACAGTTCAAGACCCAACAAGATGTGGTTGGTCAGGTCACTGAGCTGGCTGACTGGCTGAGTCTCTGGGAAAAGAAGGTTGAGCAGAGCCATGTGTCAGAGGGGAGAGAATGGGTGAGAAGGGGAGACAGGGTGAGAAGGTGGGCAGAGGGAGACCGAGTCTCCTTTAGGAAATACCAGATGGCAAGTCCAAGTTCATCTCCAAAATCTCGATGTCCTCCTTTGGATGTTTTCTGTAAGTGGAGTCATGTTAATGTGTAGATTTTGGTCACTGGAGAAGAGATATGCAAAACTATTAGTTTTATTACCCTTTAAAACAGGGATTATTATATCTGCAACACACACACAATTTGCATCATTGGCCACATATTGGTGCAATAAATATACTATGCTTTAAAAATAGTTTTAAAAATAGTTCACAGTCCTACTGGTCCTCTCAGTAAATTATGCGTTACATGTAATTTTAAAAACACATTCGTGCTCCATCTGTATGAGACTCATGGGTGAAACCTTCTAAAGATTATTTTGTGACATGCTGAGGTAGTCACAGAGATAGTGAAGCAGATTTTCATACATAATCTGTTTACACTGTGGTGACTTAGTTCTGAGTAACAACAGCTCAGTAAATGACTTTTCCTAGATCCTTGAGTATTTAGCAAAAGCCACTAAAATTCTTTGTTGAACCTGTATTTCCCCAGAAATACACATGGCACACACACTGCTTTACTGACAACAGGCTGGAGATGATTCTCATTGGCTGACTGGTGGAGGAAGATAAGAACATGAGGGAGGGTCTAGAACTTGGGACAACAACTGGCTTGAGGCCTGAGGACAGAACATCACATGACAGATACAGATGGATGGTTCCAGCAGGACAGGGACATAGAGAGCCAAGGTGGGGGAAAGCAGGAGAGTCCAACTGTGGCTCTCACAGTGGACTTTAAGTCTTAAGGGGCAGAGTCACAGTGGTTTCAGTGTCAGGCCAAGTTCAATGTCACTCTCTGTGACTGGACCCTGACAGGCAGACATTGTCTGCAATGACCCAGAGGTGTCGGAGGGAGAAGTTGCTTTGTGGTGGGAGCAGGAGGAGCCCCCATATGGAGAGTGCAGACAGAACGTCGTTTTGGGTGCTGGCCTCTGTCTGTCCCCTCCCCCAGAGGGGCAGGAGGAAGAGAGGTGCCCAGGGACAGTGTGCAAGTGACTGTCTGGGAGGGTTCTTAAAATTTCTTTACCTTCTTACTGCCTCAGGGAAGAGAATATGCTAAATGATGTTGTGTTGTACAAATGAACCTGTGAAACATGCCATGCAAATTATATCTTAATAAAGTTATGACAAAGAATATGAGAAGAATCAGCTGCCACTAACTCTGGGTGGGTTTTTGCTCACAAAGTCAGACCCTTGGAATCAAGATAAATCTTTGTTTATATCACACCCATTCTACTAGCATGTGGAGATATTTTTGTGTCTATGCTCATAAATGATGATGTCCTACAACTCTGAAACGTCATAGTCTTTGGTTAGGTCAGTTCCCTGCGTTCTCTATAATCAATAAATGAGACAGACTCTGAGCCTCTATTCAAGTCTTTGGAATAGCTGCGTGCATATTTGGGAGAACTGTGTCATTGTACCTTCTGACCCAGACTTATTATTAGAGAAGATCACTACTCACTCATTTTACACACGGACACACTCATGTGCACACACACACCCACACCTGGACAATGTGCATGATGGCAGGGTTAGCACTGTCCAACCGAGGACACTGGAACTGTGGACAGAGGGTGGTAGAATGAATGAGACAACACACTTCCTGTGTCCAAATGACAAAAGTAAAGAGCAGTGTGAGTGTCCCCCATGGCCATCCTTCACTTTCCCCTATAGAAAGCCCTTATCCAGGGAGTGAGGAGGGTAAAGAGTGGTGGGTTAGATGCAGAATCCGCAGCTCTCTGCCTACTCAGGCCTCCTTGTTGGACCTGAGAATGTCTCACCTCCAAAGGCCTGATATCCCGTGTTCAGGAGATGCATAGGGCAATTCATGCAAATTTTCGCCTGAGGTGTGTCTGTACATCTATCTCTACCTGGACAACAGGCTTTAGCAACAGGTCTAGGAAGAGGGGAGAGCAAAATGAAAGGCAAGAGTGTGAGTCACAGCTGAGTGCTCCCATGGCTCCCAGGATTGCTCAGGCCAAGGTGCCCATCACAGGCTGATTCCACATTCCCTTCCTGTCTCCTGCTGCTCACAGGAGAGGGTTGGCCTCATGCTGCCCATTCAGTTCTCAGTAAGTAGGAAAACACTCCTGCACTGTACACATTATCAGTGAAATGTGTGGCATGGGAGTTCTACCTCAATAAACTCATGATAGAACATGTGGGAGGAATCACCTGTCACTATTAAAAGGGGACCTGTGCTCAGAAAGTAAGACCATTAGGGTCAGAAGCTCTATGTTCTGTCTCATCACCCTCTTTATGGGTCACAGGCACCCAGGGGGTGATCATGGGAACAGGGAAGGTTTTTGTCTCAGTTCCCCATGGGGCTGGACAATCACTGTGTGATTGCTACAATCTTCGAATGTTCAACAGTAATAATCAGCCTCGTCCTCGGGCTGCAGGCCAGTGATGGTCAGAGAGGCCGTGTTGCCAGTCCTGGAGCCAGAGAACCGATCTGGGATCCCTGAGGGCCGATTTCTTCCGAGCATCACAGCTTTGGGGGCAGCACCAGGAACCTGTTGGTGCCAGCCTGCACCATAGCTTCCAACATTGTTGCTGCTTCCAGTGCAGGTGAGGGTGACCTTCTGTCCCACAGACCCTGACACTGAGGCTTCCTGTGTCAGCCCAGACTGTGCCCAGGACCCTGGAACAGAAAAGTGGAGACACAGAGATGTGAGATGAGGTTATTTCTCACAGGGTGTTCTCAGTCACAGAGAAAAAGGGTGACCCAGGTGTGTCCCATAGTCACTACTCCAGCTTCCCTCAGTGAGTCACCTGAGCAGTGAGCAAGGAGGGCGAGGAGGACAGGGGTCCAGGCCATGGTGGAGGTGCCCACATGCAGCTTCTGAGCACACGAAGGAGAGAACACCACAAAGTCTCTTATCTTCTCCCCTCCTGGGTGGGTAGAGAAGGACCCTTCATGCAAATTGTTTCCTCCTCCTGAGTCCCTGGGGATAAAGCTGGTGAAATCTGAGTGGAGGTGAGGCGCTAGAGCCTCTAGGGCTGGGGACCCTGGGAGATCACAGCTGCTGGTCCCCAATGAGCGCAGAAAGTAGGGCACTGGACTCAGGCCCTGGTTTCCCAGCTGACTTAACCCGGAGAACCTCAAGAATGGTCCCACAGCGCCCCCTGCTGTTCTAGAATCTGACCCACTTAGGACTGGGATGGAGAGCCAGGAGCTTAGGAGAGAAAGAGTGAGGCTTGGATTTGAGTCCTGCCTGGCACCTCACCCACCCCACACAGGGCAGGGGCTTCCAGGCCCCCAGGGCTCCTTATTGTGCTTCAGGTGTCCCAAGCCTCACTCCTTCCTCTAAAGATGTGACCTGGTCAGCATGAGCTCTTCCTCCTGTTACTCCTACCTTTTAGATAATTACTTGTTGGGACCATTTAGGTACCTGAGCCCTCAGAGTGAATGTGTCCTCTACTCAGAGAACCAACGGGCTAAGGGCATGAAGACCCCAGATCTCCTTTTATTTCAGGGCCTGGGGTGACTGGCTCCTCTCTCTCTCCTCTTACTTAACTTCTCACTGTGTCCTCCCAGTACCATAAACTTCATCAACTGTCCTATAGTCATCTGGAATGGGGCCTGGGTCCATTGATGACCTGGCACAGGGCACGTTCCCAGGAAGAGACCAGAATCATTCAGCAGTGAGATCCAGTTTCTTGTTGCTCGCCCCCTGACAACATCCACATGAGACGGTCACAGCACTTCCATCCCAGGATGCAGCCAGGACCCCACAGCCCCTGAGTAGCCCACCAGGCTGAATAGGACCCTTGTACCAAATTCAGCATGCATCCGGATGGAATTGTATTTTTAAGGATGTGCAAAATCATTGAAGTTGCTACAAGAGTGTACAATATGATGACACTGATGTCCCTGGTGCCCTGTCTATGCCCCCCTCACTGTCCACAATGCCTATTTGTTCACTCATCACAACTTCTCCAGACCCTACTGTGTGAGAGCATCGTATTTCACTCATGTACAGAATATCAGCACAGTTGCTTCCCCAGTGTCTTTACCTAATCAATGTCTGTGGTAATAATACTGTTAATATGAATTATATATATATTAATATATGAACAAGTAAAAAATTTTCCATCCAGTCTTGTCTGCTCTCACTTACTAACTTCACAGGTGCGTATTGTACTCCTGTGAAGCCTCAATGCTTCCCTCTGAATAAGTCACAGAAACCCCCCCTCCCCGCATTGCACAGGGACTACAAGGAAACCAAAGGGTGCCCGTGGCCCTGACAGTTTCTTGTCGGCTTATCACAGCACCAGTTGTCTGGAGCATGGTGATGTTTATTTGTGGCTCAGTAACTCATTTTAATTAAAAAAATAAGTCTGTGAATAGAAACAAAACACAAATATTCCCTGTCCTTAACCCATGGTTCACACATGTTTGCCCCTCTTGCATACGACTATGCTCATCCAACCACATCCCAACCAGGAACATGGACCCATCCTAGACCCATCCAAGACCCATCCACACCCCCCACACTGACCTTCCAAGCAAGGACCTAGGCCAGTGTTTTGACCAGGGAAAACATCTGGAATCTAATCTACTGTCTTCATCTCCACTACACTCACCCTGATCTGGCCACTATCTTCTCCTCCCAGATGCGACAGACTGACCCTCCTCTGTCTCCCTGCCCTGCTCACTGTGTTCTCACATCAGCTGGACATGGAGTGAGCAGACGCCAATGTGTGCACATCACTCCCCACTGACGGTCCCTCTGTGACTATGCTTTTCCTTCTCAGCAGCAGTCATCCCAGCAGTCTGGCCTCTCCTGCCTCTTCAGCTCTCCTGCCTCTTCCTAAGGAGCTCCTCCTGGTGCCCCTGCTCACTCCACTAACCCAATGCGTGGCCCAAAGCAACTTTCCCCTTCTATTTGTGTGACTGATACCTCCCTTTTGGTGTTTTTATCTGTTATTGCAACATTCTTCACCTCACCCATACCACCTTCTCACTCCTACTTATTCTGAAAATTGGACACCGGTCCCATTGATTGGGTCTTTTTGGCCCAATGCCCCACCCACTTTCAACCCCAAACCTACACCAGCACCATGTCATGTGGGTGCTGGTATTTCTCTCTCATAGCACATCTTCTGTGGCCAGAAAGAAGCAGATACAGGACTGTAAGTACACAGTTGGCATATTTTTGGCTTTGGCTGTAATTCAGAAGTGATTTAAAAGTCTTTCAGGTAAAAATTTATTTTATCGCATCCCTGGAGCATTCATGTGTCTTTCCCTGATTGAAGAATTCAGACAGCCCCACAGCACCCCCTGAGGGACCATGTTACAATATCTTCAGGTCTTATGACCCCCCTGAAAAATGAAGAAGATCCATGATTTGGACTGTTTTACTCATCACTCTGGACCTCACTGGTTACGGGCCCTGGAATAGATGTTCACACAGGAAAGAGACGAGACTGTTCTCTCTCCAGGATGCACCTGAGGAATATTTGCAAAACCTTGAGTTTTTGGAATCTTAGATTTCACAACAATGTCTACTTATTTAAATGGAATACGTCTCTTGCCATGAGGGAGAAGGTTACATTTTGAAACAAAAGGAGGTGATGCTAAACGTGCACCCAGACCACAGGCTTATGGAGGTTCAGGGTAGCCCGTGTGAGGGGCTATGGATCCCCTGGCAAGAGGGTGTGACTCCCTGAATCCCACCCCCATTCTTCTTCTAAGACTCTCTCCTTCTTTGGGCTTTGCTTATTGGTGCCTGCGATGGGATCATGTGTTTTAAAGCACTGACTACCCTTCCAAGTATGTATGTCACTCAGAATGATGAACAGTTAAAAGCCACTCTGAGGGTGGTGTTGGGGCTTTTGGTCAAGATCTGTTACACCTGCTTCACCTCCACACTCCCCAGGGATCCCCTGAGCTGGTCACTGCTCCAGCTGGGAGAACTGAGGCAGGCAGGAGAGGGTTCCGTCACTGTCTTTATAAATTTAAAACCCAAAAGGTGTTTCTAATCCTTCAGAGCAGTAAACAGCTCTGTTCTTTGTCCAGTGTCTCTCAGCATTAGTAAGGGTGAGGGACTCTGTGATACTGGATACAGGCTCATTACCCCACAATCTGTGTTAATTGCTGCCAATACAGTGTCTCTAAGACAAGCAACTAAAGCTCAGCTGGTTCAAGCTTCTGGAACTCAGAATCTGGAGAGATGATTATCCTCATTTGGCTCCACCTACAAATGCAAACTCCTCAGTACCCTGTGTTGTCCCCACATCAGGATCTACTGGAGACGTTTACTATAGTGGGGTCAGAAGATCCATAGCCCTTCTACAGTCTCCTGAGCCTCGTGAGTGGCAGATGTGGTCACAGCCAGGGGCAGCTGGATGGATTTGGGGTCCCACTCCTGGAGAAGCACTGTGCCCCCCATGCCCAGAGAGGCTCTCTCAGTAAAAAATGAAGTGGGTGAGAGGTGGTCCAGGGACATGAGATGGAGGAGACTCAGCAGCAACTCCAGAGAGACGCAGGTCAGGGACTCCAATCTGTGTCCATGGCATCTGGAGACTCGAGAGAGTGAGATCACTGAGGGAGGCCCAGAAAGCATTACCAAGCAGTTCAGGTCAGGGTACGCTGACAGGGACATTTGAGCCACTACAGAGAGTTGTTTCACACAAGTAGGATCTGAAGCCACACAAGGAGTCAAACCTTTCTGAGGGTAAGGGAAAGAGGAAGAGGGATGTGCTCCTGAGGGGCCATGTACAGGAAGCCCTGAGCAGCTCACCTGTGCAGAGAAGGGTGAAGACAGGAAGACTCAAAACCAGGAATGGACTGTGCCCAGACAGGAAGAGTTGGCTTCCTGAGCCACTGCAGTGTGACACAACTCCCCACACATCCGTGGTCCTCATTCAAATGTTTTATCAGATGTGTCTTATCCAACTGAGTGTCCAGAAACTCTGCATGTCTCCAGCCTCACAAACCTCTGGGCATGACCCTTCTCATGGTGGGATGAAGAGAAAGGTGGAGATTACAGGTCTTGCTTTAATGATGTTGGAGCCCCCTCTTTTAGTCCTCACCTGAGTGTGTCTATTGATTTGAGAGACAGAGGAAGGGATGGAGAGAGAGAGAGAGAGATGTGAGAAGGAAACACTGCTTGGTTGCCCCCCCCACCACACACATACACTCTTGTAGCCTAATATGTGCCCTGAGCAGGAATCAGACCTGCAAGCTCTCTGCTGCACAGGATGACGCTCCAAACAACTGAACGACCAGGGGAGAGCATGAAGGAGTCTCCTGATCTGCTGGTGTACACAGAGAGGTCACACACAATCATATTTCAGCGAGGACAAGATTCTTGTCTGGCGTGTCTTAGCATGTCTGGAACCAGAGAAACCTGCTTCCCCTGAGCCCCAGGATGAGAGAATAGGTCCCAGAAACAGGCGACAATGGTCACAGGTAGACCGAACTAAACTCACTCTTGCAGCAGTTTCCTGGGAAACGGTCCTGGGGCACACTGGACACAGTGACCCACCACTGACCCACCTGAAGCCATCAGCCCACCCAGGCCTCTGATGCAGGCCTAGACTCTGGTGGGCACAGGTGGGTTCAACCCTTCCTTCCTTGTCTGTCTTGCCCCTGAGGGATTACACAGCCCTGAGACCTGAGTTAGGCCTGTGTAGATATGAGCAGGCTGAAAAGATTAACCAGAGAGAAACAAAATTTTTAACTACGGACAATAAGTAAAAACAGCACATCCATGGGTACTAAGAAAAGAGTTGCCCACTGAAGAAGAAACAACAAATGCCACCTGAGTTAGACTTGGTCCCAGGCAGATAAGAAGTGGCAGCCCCAGGCAGAAAGTGCATAGCAAGGGTTTTAGTCTCACTTCCCCGTGACCCTGGAGCACCGTGTAAGTTTTACTGTTGCTGTGCCATGTAGCACAGTAATAGTCGGCCTCATCCTCAGGCTGCAGCCCAGAGATGGTCAGGAGCCCCGCATTGGCCGAGGAGTCTTTGGATCCAGAGAAGCGGTTGGGGACCCCAGAACCCTGGCCCTTACTTGAGTCTGAGTAGAACCACAGCAGATACCGGGGAGGGCTCCCTGGCTTCTGCTGGAACCAGTTTATGTAGTAGCCACCAACAACAAAACCACTGCTGAGGGTGCAGGTGAGTCTGGCTGTGGCTCCAGGAGATGCAGACACAGAGAGCGGCTGAGTCAGCACAGGCTGGGAGAGGGAACCTGCAGACACACAGACACATGGAGTGAATAGAAGATCAGGGTGCAGGTGCTGTGGGTCTCTGGGGCCCATCCCTACCTGTGCAGTGACAGAGCAGCACGAGGAGCACGGGGGCCCAGGCCATGGTGAGCAGGCTGCTCCTCAGTCCACACAGCTGGGGCTGGGCTGCCCAGGCCTCTCTTATCCCCTCCCACTGGGCCCCATGGAAGAGGGACTGCTCATGCAAATGAGTCCCCACCCCCTGCCTTTTTCCCAGGTTCACCCACAGGGTCTGGAGCCCTTGGTGGGGGAGGCTAGTCTGACACACTGGCTTCCCCCTGGGTAAAGCTGGGACCAAGTCCTTGTGGGACCACAGAGGGCCACGAGCACAGAGATAAGTCTGGTCCAGGGAGGAAATGCCTCACCCTGTCAAAGTGCCCAGGGCTGAGGGCTCCTTTCCCTGGAGGGCTGCCTAGCCAGGAGCTCCTGTTTTGCAGAAAGGGTTTCATGCCACCCTCTGCTGGTCCCCAGGCAAACCACTCTTCTTTCAAGCTGATCCAATGTCTACACTTCATGTGTCTCCATGGCTTCTGTGTCTCCAACACTTAAGAGTCACCAGTACAGGGGACCAGAGTTGTCCTCACACGGGACCATGCAGGTACAGTCCTGGTGTGACCATCATGGATTCAGGCACACATGACTGCTGACCCAGGAGAGCCTGAGGACTGCTTGAGACTGAGTTCACGTGAGGGGAACAGAAAACAGAGTTGATGTGGGACAGGGGGCCAGGCCAGAGCCTGGGTCACTGCAGCAGGGGGACCCTGGAACCCTGGCAGAGGAGGACAGAAGAGGCTCCAGAGGATCCCCAGGCCTGAGGGTTCCCTGATGTCTCCCACAGGAATCAATGGATAAGATAGGTGGTGTCTTACAGAGCCTTCCTTTCAAGTATGTGACTAGGGCCGGTGGGCAGTATCTCTGTGGATGCAGGGACCCATGGGAGGAGGAGGGCACAGCCCCTGTCTGTGGGTGGGACACAGCATCACAGTCTCTAGTGGTGGCCTTGGAAGTGCACCACTCAGACCTCCTTCCCAGACACCCTGCAGGGGAGAGCAGAGGCCACCTGCAGTGCCAGCGCCTCATTGTGGCTTCAGGCAAAGAGGGGCAGCACAGGGAACTAGAGTCTAGCTTTCCTGCTGGAAACAGTGTCCTCTAAGGGGCCCCCCCACCTGCAGGAGACTCCAGGCACTCAGCCTGCCTGAGTCCTCCCAGACCTGCCCTGTGGTCTGAGCTCTTCCTGCCCCACCCCTCCTCCTCTCCCCTTCCTGGGGCAGCCCTGCTCATGATGACTCTCCCTCCCCCATCCCTTCCGGTCTTTCCTGCACCAGCGTTCCCACCTCCAAGCTCACTTTGCTACTCATTGTTTGTCCTCTGCTTCTCAGAGTGCACAATAAAGGAATTCCAGGTCAGAGAGAAAAGCAGTCCATAAGAAACATATGGCTCTCTTGTTATTTAATATAGTAAATCAATTTGTTTATTCATTCAGTTAAAAGTATGTACTTTAAAATTAACTTATTGGATTACTGTATATGTACACATATTTGTATGTATGTACACACACATATACATTACATATACATATATTTATGAACACGTACAGATAAATATACACATTCACATAGACACAAATGCTTATATTTTATACCAGAGGCCCAGCACTGAGTTGCTGTCCCTTCTACAAACTCCTCTTAGATCAGGTTCAAGTCCAGAGCAGTGATAGTCCCTTGGAGGCCTGTCCTTTCTGTGCAGAACGAGGTTCTCTCCTTGTGTGCAGTTCTCCCCTGGGGGCCCGGCTCTCCTCCTTGTGGATCTGCTACCACCCCGAGGAGCAAGCGGGCTCTTCCATCCAGGGACAAGAGGTGGTTTAAAGGAAGGCCCTGTGTGAGTTCCGAGAGGCTGATGTGTGATTCTTTACTGTCTGTCAACGTTCTCATGTCCTTGACCACAACTGTCATTCCCACGGTTCTTGCAGGGTGACTCCTGGGGACCTTTTGTTCAGGCAGAGGAAGCAGCTTTGCAGGGCACCGTGCAAAACATGTTCTCTGGAGCACTTTACTTACAAATTCCTCTTGCTCTGAGCTCTGCTTGCTCCCAGTGGAGACTGATACATGGCAGATAATGGAGAGTTTCACCAATGGAGAGTTTGAAAAAAACACAAGGTTTCTGCTCAACAATGAGTGTTGTGGGGCCTGTTTGATAGAGAAATGTATATGCCCAGTCTACATCATGATTGTCCCAGAAAGGTCAACTCAGGAAATAACAAAAACAGAAGCAAGATAAAATCATGAAATCATTGTATCCACGTACTAAATTAAAAATGAGAACATAAAATAAACTGATTTTATGTGACTAGATGAATTCCGGGATGCTGTGGGCCAGACCCTGAAGTGATCTCAGTCAGGGAAGGGGTATGGTGGGAAGACCACCTGACTGAGTTTGGTGCAGTCTGTGTGTGTGCATATTCCTATGTGGTAGCGTGATTTTGATACTGTACATGCAACAAACCAGAATGTTTAAATGGATTCTCAAAGCTCAGTTCATCACGTATACATAGTCCATGGACTGGCTGTAATTTGGGGCGGTGTGTCCCAAGCCCCACACCAGGGATGAGTTGGTAGCAGGGGCTGCAGCCCCATCAAAGACTACACCCTCTCACAGGGACACGCATTCAACCCACTCCCACAGCCCCCAGCCCTCGCTTGGCCAACCTAGTTTCAATCTAAGTCTCATGTACAGACCACCTGCATTGCTGTGGCTGAGACTCAAGGTGCACTTGGTCCCGAGGCACATTCGTCTCCAGCTGGGACCCTGGGAAACCGACAACCGATGTTCATAGAAAACACAGCCCTGGGCCCTGAGTGGTGCGGCTCTGTCCTGGGTCAGAACTCAACGGATCTTACTCAGGGACACAATTTAACTCATTTTGTTAGGTAAGAATTATCCTTTGTACCCAAATTATATTTTTTCAATATATTAAAAAATCTAAGAATATACTCACATTGTTTTTAAATAAATCTGAAAAATAAGCATCTATAATATACAAAATGTGCTTTTCTTTTCTCTTTTCTTTTTTCCTTTCAATGAGGTGAAACTCATTTCACCTCAGACCTTACATTCCATATAGATGCTACTGCTATTTTTGGAACATAAGGTCACTGAATTCTACTCTTTCTGGACAAGGTCCTCCCAACTCGTCCCTGATGTTTATTACTGTTCTCACAGGGAATGGGACACAAGGCAGACCCTGTCCCTCACCGTTTCTCTGTGGAGGGTGGACATCAGGCTGCCTTGAGAGCGCAGGAGTCTGGTCACGTGATCCCCATGTCAAGGAACCACATTTGTCCCCAGGCTCGTGACAGCAGGGAGCTATGTCTTGGTTCCCCATCTGGGTCTCTCTGCCCGCCGGGCTCTGCTGCAGGGCAGTGAGCAGTAGCTCGGCCTCTCCTTCAGGCTGGGCTCTGGGGAGGGTCAGGGCAGCTTCGCCTCAGAAGTGGGAGTCTGAGAACCAGGCAGGGCTTCAGGGGAGTTTATTGTTTGTGTCATAAATCAATGTTCTGGGGACTTGCCCAAACTCCTGTTTGACCATCTACGAACAGTGACCATTGGTGATGGCTCCTGTGCTGGGGCCACAGGTGAGAGTGACCATCTTTCCTGGGGACACAGTAAGAGCTGGAGGGTTAACACAGCCTGAGAAGTTTACCTATAAATGAAAAGAGACACAGATCAGGAGTGAAGGAGAAAAGCACAGGGATCCCGCCAAAGGCTCCCTCCTGGCAGTGAGTGAGGAAGGGGAGGAGGAGGCCAGGTCCAAGCAAAGACTTCCCACCGTCCTCTGGCCTCAGGCTGATGCTGGTCTCTCAGGTGTCCCTCTCCCTCCTCCCCCAGCCTCTGGGGTGAAGGGTGTGTTTGGTGGGGCATTATGCAAATATGAGCCCACAAACACCCTCATTCTGGGTCCTCTGCCCAGTTTGTAGCTTCACTGTCAGGAGGAGGCTGTGGTGGTTGTGAGCTCTGAGTCTGTCCCTTGAGAGGAAGCACCTGCTGTCACTTCTAACTCAGGCCAGTGAGCATGGGGCAGGGCCCAGCAGTTAGAATCACTGCAGTTATTTCAGGCCTTGCAGCTCTGAGAAGATCCCCAGCGCCCCCTGGTGACCTTCTAAACAGAATGTTAATTGTAGAAATTCAGCAGAACACAGAGCTAGTGGGACAGGGTTGGGTTTTCTTCAAGTCCCTTCCCCTCTTCCCTCCTTCTTTCCTGTCACCCTATGTTCCTGAGGGCCAATTCAATGCCAACAAGGCTCCCCAGTGTCAGGTGCTGTCAAGAGGGAAACTTTACTCGGTACCAACAACAGTGATACAGCATGGCTATGGAAACAGTGCTGCTGTGGACCAGCCCAACTGGGATGCAGCAGAGCTGTGAGAACAGTGGGGTGCAGAACAGCTCTGGGAACAGGGGGCCATGGGCCAGACCACTCTGGCTAGACAGCTCTTCTCGGTTCCTCTACGTTGCCCACTTTGTGCCACCCTTGTTACTCTACTCTGCACTGGTCGGCGTCACTCCGCTCTGGGGAGACTACTTCGGTGTTTCAGCTCAGCCATGCAGACAGTCTTTATTCTTCCGTGGCAAGTGCACTTTCTGAGACACAGGGAATCCAGCTCATCTGAACAGGAGCCTCTGATCCCTGGTCTCTCATTGGTCCATCCTCATGCACATCCTTGCATTTTTCTTGGCCCAAAAGCCACTGCCCTGACTGGTCAGAATAGAGCTGCTGTGATTGGATGTGGAAAGCCTCCATCTTATTGTTTGACACAGAATTCCAGGAAACCTCTCTAAGGGCTGGCTCAGATGGCAGAAACACAGGGAAGGCAGGCAGGCAGGTTAGCCCAGAAGGAGGCAGTTCAGTAAGGAGGTGTTTTGTGTAGAGTTTGCTGCACAGAAAGGCTGCACATTTGTATGCATTCACAGCCAATCCAGGAATCTAACTGTGCCATGAACTTACAGAAAGCAAGCATACAGACAAATACACTATATATATTTCAGAGGAATATATAATCACTGGAGTAACTGTGCAAGTTACTCCAATGGCACATGGAGATGAGGCACTGGTTAGAACCAGG